GTAAAATAAAGATATAGTTGTACGTCTTCAAGTGTACCTGTTTTCCAAATACTACACGTGTAATTACACGTATTATTAATCACAAAAGGATAATATATAGTTTATCAAAAGAAGGTTGCTTTGTTGAAGGTTGTTTTCATCAGGCTGGCGCCATTTTGAAGAGTTTTGCCATCGTTCCTGCAAATCGTAATCACGTTGTCAAATAATGTTACTATTTGACAGCATAATCTGCTGTTGTGACCATTAGAAACATCAAAGGGCGACGCCACTCTTGCCTTTGCACGGCTATGACAGGTCGATGTGCAAATAAAACAACGTGACCCTCTCCCTTCCCCCTAGGAGAAATCGTTAGCGAGAGGGAACGCGTTATTAGTGTACGTTAATTCGCGTATAATAAGCTCATTAAATCTTTTTATTCGAGCAAGTTGAAGAGACGTTGCTTTACTCTGCGTTTTATTTTCACTCTTCTCCCTTTCCTCCCTCCCCCTCACACCTCTTCCACGAGACTTTTTGAATGGCGTTTATTAGGGCCACGAGTCCGCATCGAGAACTACTTCGAGGCTATAGTAACCGTCGCGGAAGGATCATTAAATGAGGGGAGAAAAATTTACTCAAGCATGATGAACTTCCACCGCAAAATTCATTCTGTTCCCCTATTTTCTCTCTCTCTTTTTTCCGTTTCTTTTTGTTTTTCGTTTTCGTTTCAAGCTGCCTTCTTTTTTTTTTTTTTCTCTTTTTTCGTAACTTTCGATCACGTAACTTCCTCGCCACAGTTTCGATTCCCCGGTTCATTCTCGAGATACTCGACCTTATTATTGTAATTATCGATACTTGTCATATCGTGAGTTTCCTTTAATACTTTGTTATGAAAGTGAATTATTTAATGTCGTCTCGTTTTTGTTAGCGAGTGAATCAAATTTTAGGTTACGATTTTAAAGTACTATTGGATGATTACTAGTTCCTTTTTTTATTTTTTAAGTACATCCTTAATTTCTTTGTTTCATCCAATCTTTCTTTATTTTTTGGAAAATTATTTATTTTTGCTAATAAATATCGATGTTTCTTTTTATTATGATTAATCGATCAAACGTATAGCAAATAAAAATCTCTCGTATTCGCATCGATAAGAAAACAGAAGTGTTAGGTGAAAAGAATTTTCGGATAATAAAAGAATCTTCGATTGTCAAAATTTTTGATAATTTCTTAATATCTGTGATCATAGATGCACAGATCGAAACTGTGTGTGTGTATTCATTAATTTTATTGCATTTGTATTCCTTCAGGATTTTAATTATTATATATTTTTTTGATATTTTATATTTTATAATACCATACATCGTTAGCTTCAATACCACTAAATTATGTCTAGTTGATTCATTCGAGTAGAGAAAAATATACACAAGATTATACGTATATAAATATCGATATGAATTGATGGATGTTCGAATAACAGAATTTTTAGAATACATGGATAAGTGGAGATTCTATTGTACCATATTTTTTCATTTTATATTTCTATAAAATTTAATAAACGTTAATAATGACAGATATAAATATCATATATATATATATATTAAATTTCCAAGCTTTCTGAGTCTTGGTTCGCGAGTAAAAAAGCTTCCAGTGCAATGGCTTTGATGAAACAGAGAGCGAATTCATATCTACGATCGAATTTATCGAGAGGAACGTCGTAGGCCAAGAAAAAGGGAAATTCCTTGGTAAGGTTAAATCGGATATCACTTGAACGTATCTTTTGTCGAACGTCGACATTCGCAATCAAGTTATTTACAGTTCGTGGAGCAGAGATCCATAGTCATGGATAACCTTTTTTCTCGGTCTTCGGTCGTAATAGGGTTTACGTAATCTCTGGTAATAAACGAATCCACTTTCTCGTAAATAGATTTTTCCTAACCTTTTGTTTTTTATCTTTGCTGCTTAATATCCTGTCAATTGGATGAAATTTTCATACCGCGGATAAAAATCGCCATACGACGACGCGCATCCTGTCGTTCGATTGTTAATCTCATCGACGTTCACTCGAACTGTTTTATTGAAAGAAAAATGAAAGGGAACGATTTGGCGGGTGGAATTAGTGGAAACGAGAAATTTTTTACTTATTTTTTTTTTTTTTCTTTATTTCCTTCTTTTGACAGAAACGAATGTTGGAATTTCTTAAGGAACGCGAATTCTTAAATTGTTAAAAATAATAAACATTTTGTGTTCAATATGATATATCGAGTAATCAAAGAATTTGTCAATCGTGATTGAATTTCACATGCCTAGTTTATTGAAATTCGAGCCGATCGGAAATCGGAATTTCCGAGCATTGATTCAGATTAATTGATTTGGAAGCAATCCAAAGATATTCATTTCAAGCACCTGATGTACAGAGCGTTTAAAAATTTATCAAATTATTTCTAGAAATTTATGTAAATTATATCGGCTTATTTAATTCACGTGTACGTATAATTTTATGTGCATTATCCAAGACATTAAAACCATTAAAAAATCAAATCAAAAAATTATTCATGAAAATAATTAATAACTTGTTTAATTATCAAGTGGAATTCAATTCTTGATTATTTCCCATTAAGAAAATACAATTCTTATTAAAAAGGAATATTCTTTTTTAAATTTAAAAAATATTAACTTCAAAATCTTTTTCGAATTTTGCGTATGTTTTATATGCAAGATTTGAAAAAAGAACGAGAGAAGAGAAAAGATTGATGACTCGGGTGATGTGTCACCTGAAAAACAGGAAATATTAAAAAGAAAAGGACTTTTTTATGTAGGTGTGAAATAAAAAGCACTCGAGCGATGAAATCATAATGGAATAGAAGATAAAACCTTCCAGTGATTTCGTAAGAAAGAAAAAAGAAAGAAAGAGGAAAACATTGAGAGACAAAAAATTCAAAGAAAATTACAGAGGGAAACATTGAGACACGCATGCGCTAAGAAGCTTTCTATAAATTTATTTGCTCGAGTTACCGACCGAGAGTCGTAATGTTGCTATTCTACATAACATTTTATTCATGCTTATATTTAGGCTCTTCTTATACCATAATTTATCAATAATAATTTAGGAATTGCTTTACAGAAACAAAAAATAGTTACTGATGAATATTAAAAATATTTAAAAAAAAAAAAAACAAGAAGAATTCACGATACAACGATAGAAATTTTACATATTAATTTTTTCATCAATCAATATTACAAATAAGACAAAAATTCTTGATTAAATTTCACAACACAATATATTTTAATTACCATTATTGGTAAAATGGAAATATTTATTGTTACACAATATACATATAACATATAAATTAATTTTTTGGAAAAAAAAGTTATAAATAAAGTTTCTATACTTTGACTTTTAAAAAATATATATCCCATGGCGAACCGTCGATTATGCAGAACTTTACTTAGAAAACTTGTTCGAATCGATCAATCCTCTCTGCACACGTAACCATGAAATTTTAATGGAACTTTCGTTCAGTTCGATAGAATGTTGGAACTGAAAATGTTTGAAGATGAAAAAAGAAATTGTTCAGGGAAAAAATGTTAAAGTTCTTGTTAAAATTCTACAATAGTGCGTAAATTTCATAATAGATATAATTTATTCATTATTTTGAATTGTCGTTTTGAATATATTTAATTTTCAAGAAGGATTTAATTATTATTCCGAAATGAAAGTGTCGCGTCACAAGTGAACAAGGGTGTGATTATAAATTCTGTAGAGAGCGTAACGAACCGTATTATCACCTTAACATCAAGTATCATGTCGTAAGCTCGTGGTCCGTGTAAAGTTTATGTAATAAATTCAACTTCACCATCCCGCAACAACTCATAAAATATTCAACGATGACCTACAATCTGTTTCATCATTTGAATATCGTGTCACGGACATAACAATATCCACTTCTGCACGGATTTCGTTATGATAATTCATGATTGTTGATACAGATAACAGATTTACCGGGCTGGTCATTCATACCGGTTATTAAGTTCGATGTAACTCGAAATGTTATCACGCGCTGACGAAATATTTCATCGATATCGGGCCAATTAATCGTCAGTTTCTAACTAAGTTCAGAAATATTCCAAATATCTTGATAATTTGAGGAAACAAAATTAATATGAATATTTTCCATTTTTCCATTGCTCTTATTTTCTTCGTACAGTCTGTACAAAGGGTGTCTACTATGTTTTTAATACAAGAGATTTATAAATCAAAATTTGAAGGAAAAATTTTTATTTTTATAATAATTTTTTTTATTATTTTTTATTCCGTTATTTAATATTAGGATATACGTGGCATACAATTTTTAACTTTCAAAAATCACAAAAAATTACTCTCATAATTTTAATCGAATAAAATTCACAAAATAATCCTATATTGATCGCAAAATAATTAATCTATGCGCTTTTAAATCCATAAAATAATTAATTCTCAACTTTCGAATCTAGAAATTTACGTTTTTCCACAAATTTATTAATACAAATACAATAAAACAACAAAGTTACATATTCATCTTAATAAATTTATTCAAATTTATTCAAAAAAATCGTGTAATATCGTAATAACGAATGACAAAGAAGATGACGATTGAATTAATGATATTCAATAGCGATTCATCGTAAACGTAAGATCAAAGCACATCAAAGCCAAATTAAAATTTTCGTAATAAGAAAATCGAGCGGGGTTCGTTTTCTGATAGCCTTTATGCGCGTTTAATGTTCCAATGTTGGGTATTGCCAAGAAAGCTGGCTAAAAGTGCAAAGATACGTACGGCGATAGGAAAGAGAGGGGTTAAAAAGAAAGAAAGAAAAAAAAAAGTAAAAAGGAAGAAAAAAAGGTTGACCAGGGGAATTTGTAGTTGGAAGAATACAGAAGATATCTTTGGTATAGATCTGGCCACGGGTGACAATGGCGGCCACAGCTATTGGCCCGTTTCACAAGCACGGTCCATATCAATACCCCTTTGTTGCACATGACTGAGTCCGGGATAAAATTCTCTCTCTCTCTC